GTGGATCTGGAGCCAGCCAATCAGCGGCCGAAGCCGCGGCAACCCTAGGTCAAGGATACGTATCTTTCACTGACCCCCCTGGGTTAGAGTATAGGATGCCTACCTTTAATTATATATGATAATATAAATTAAATAACTATTTAGTAATATTATTCTTAACTTTTAAACTAGTTAAAAAAGTAGTAAAAACCTAAAGCCCTAATAGTATAGTAAAAAGAAATTAAATACCTAGAAACTAATATCCTTATAATACCTAATTATAAACCTAGTGACTACCCAGCGGCACGCTAGCTACCTAAAAGGCTTGTTAAAAGAAGGAAGATAAAGCTAAATCTATAACTAACACTAGAACTAAACATATAATAAAATATAATAGTAAAATAAAATAAAACTAGAAGAAGTATATTAAGAAAACCAGGCCTCTATTACTAAAAAAGATTAAGGCCATACTCATCAGTCTCCTCCTGCTCACCCAGCGTACTAGCAGCGGCCTGATAGCGACTAGTAGCCTGGGTAGGGAGTTGGTTATTAGTCTCGTTATTACCCTCAGTCCCATCCATAACAGGCCAGATAGTCATAGCAGAGGGAGGTAGGCGGGGCGCAATCTAATAGCCCTCACGGATATCATTCCGTAGCTCAAAGGTATGGTGTAGCAGCGACTGCATAAGCCGCACCATCTCCGGCTCCTTCTCGACCTTATAGACAAAGGTCTCAACCCTTCTTGTCTAGTCTTTTGTAGCAGTAATAACATCAATATTATCATCTTCACCTGCGTTCTCCCGTAGTGTAATAATCTCAGCCTCATATGGAGCTGGGATTATACTATAGGTCTTGTGGGATCATGTATAGCGAAAGCACTTTAGCCCAGCACGAGGACGGCGGCATAACTGCGGGCTAATAGCCTCGTTATCCTCACCCCTAACAAAGCTAACTTTAGCACAGCGAAGGCAGGGTACTCGACATAGGATGCCATCACCCTTATCATCCTCCTAGGTCTCAGGTTAGTACCGTTGTCTAGCAGGCGAGGTGCATATATAGCATGGTTTAGTATACTTACATCTAATATAACCACTTGGTCCTGGTTACTAGATCTCTGGCGCTGCTTGCCTTTGGTATGGTTTGAACTTGAGCTCCCACTGCCTTAGGCACCATAACGCGTCTCCACGCCTATTTGGCGGCGTTTTCGAGGGGGGGCTTTAGTCTCCTCCTCATCCTCGTCCTCATCCTGCTGCTGTGGAAGCACCTGACGTGCGGCCTTGCGTTGGATCTTCTCTCTCTCAAGGCGGCGCTTGCGGTTCTAGGGCGCCTCGCTAGGACTAGCTAGCGTAGATTGAGCTTGGGTAAATGTAACAGCTATAGACCAACCCTATATATTAGCCTAAATAGTACTCGCGTGGTGCTGGGACCACGCTGGTAGAGGGTGTTGGAGGCTTACCACGTGTGCCCTGGCTACCAGGAACTATCTTCCTACTTGTTTAGCGGCGCGGCGCAGGGGTTATGTCCATCTTATTCTCATCCTCGCTATTATCCTTAGCTACCCTAGAGCAGCGACCTGCTAGTGGGTTACTACCTAGCTCTTCCTTATTATATTCCTCTTCCTCTTCCTCTTCCTCTTACTACTGAAGCGCCCGACGCGCGGCCTCGCGAATCACCTCACGTGTGGCCTCACGTTGGATCTTCTCTCTCTTAAGGCGGCGCTTGCGGTTCTAGGGCGTCTCGCTAGGACCAGCTAGCGCAGATTAAGCTTGGGTAGATATAATAGCTATAGGCCAACCCTATATATTAGCCTAAATAGTACTCGCGTGGTGCTGGGACAACGCTAGGAGAGGGTGTTAGAGGCTTACCACGTGTGCCCTAGCTACCAGGAACTATTTTCCCACTTATTTAGTGGCGTGGCTGAGGGGTTATGTCTACATCTTTACTATTATCCTCACCCGCCCTAGAGCGGTGACCTGCTAGCGGGTTACCACCTAGCTCTTGCTTAATATCTTCCTCTTCCTTATTATCTTCCTCTTCCTCTTCCCTAACCCGCGGAAGCGCCCGACGCGTGGCCTCATGTTGTTCCTATTCTCTCACAATGCGGCGCCTGCGCCTTGATAGCGTCTCGCTAGTGCTAGCTGGCAAGGTATTCTCTTTAGGAAGAAATTGGGTCCGAGTAGACATATTAGCTATAAGCCTAGCCTATTAATTAGCCTGAATAGTGCTCGTGTTCCGCTAGGGAAACACTAAGTAAAGGAATTACTAACCTATCATGGTTTGGGAAATCGTGGTTGTTTTAGAGGGTATAATACTAAAGTAGATAGTAATAGTGTTTATAGATAGGAATAAAGTATAGAGTATAGTAATATTATAGGATTGTACTCTAATATATACTCTAGGTGGAGGATATATAAAGAGTATAGATATAAAACATGATACCCCTAAAGAATAAAGAGGAAACGTACCCCTGTTACAGACCTAAAGGCGCTGCTTGAATAGCACCTGGGGGCCGCCCGGGAGGTGACAAAGGTGCAAGCTGGACAAGGAGTAAGGAAGGACATGAATAATAAAAGAAAAAGATGGAGATAAAGGAAAAGAGGAAAAGTACCCCTATTATAGAGCAAAAGGCGCCGCCTGAATAGCACCTAGGGGCCGCCAGGGAGCTAAGTGACAAAGGAAGTGACAAAGGTGCAAGCTAGACAATGAGTAAGGAAGGATATGATTAGAATAAGACAAAGATAGAGATAAAGGAAAGGAAGAAATGTACCCTATTACAAAGCTAAAGGCGCTGCTTGAATAACACTAAAATATTACTAGGAAACTTAGATCAGCCTAATACCAAGCCTATGGGCCTAAGGTGAACATTAAGAGATATAGGAATTACGATTATGTTATATTATGGCGGTCCACAGGCGAGGTGGTAGCAGGCTCTTAGCGTCCTGCAGAAATTACTAATCAAGCTTTTTTTAGCACCCATAGGTCTATTATCATGGGGATACTCACTAACAAGGAACCAAGCACTCATTGCCAGTTAAGTTAGGGAGGGTTAAAGGCGAGTTATCAACGGGAGCTGGGTGGGCTGCTAGGTACGACCACCAGCCTGGGAGCATGCTTGACGCTTTAGGGTACAAGGAAGGAAGCTATACAAGAAGGTAAGAAAATAGTACTACAAGGGAGCTTGATTCCATGAGGCCTAGCTATATAGAGGCGATAGCTAGGCGAGTAGACAACGAGCTATACTACACCATTAAAACAAGAAGAAGAAGAAAAAAGGGAAAAAAAAAAGAAGAAGAAGTAGTAGGCGCTAGGGCTAGAATATGATATTAACACCATAGTTATTGGTCTCCTGTAGCTCAAGGAACCTATTAATGGCGGCACCATGGCGAGTAGTAGTATAAGTAGTAGTGGTCTCTTCCTCCTTGTCATCCCTCTTAGTACCATCTATTACCAGCCAGATAATCTTGGTGGAAGGGGGCAGCCGGGGTCTAATGTAATTAGTAGCACGGATGTCATTATAGAGCTGAAAGGTATAGTAGAGGAGGGAGCGCATAATATAAAGTATCTC